AACGTTTCAGAGGTCATACTGCCTCCGTCATCAGGGCTATTCAGGGATATTCATCGCCCTGATGACGGAGGCAGTATGACCTCTGAAACGTTGGTTAACATCGACCAGACTACACAGCGCAATAACCCAGAAGACAGAAATCTTCATATTCACCGCTGTGAGAACCTCAAGTCTTACATAATGGAACTTGTTTTGTTAAATGTGATCTCTCACATTGAGGGTATTTGAGAACAGGGTGTTGCGGAGAATATTTGGATTCAAGAGAGTTAAAGTTATAGGTTGTTGGAAAAAATTGCATCATGAGAATTGCATACAGAATTTAAGTCGAAAGCCTGTAGAGAAGAGACGACTTAAATTGGGTGAAATGAGTTCCAGAGTAGCAGGGCGTGTAAAAATGGTTTGTGGGGGGTGGGATTGTGTGTAACGAAAATGGAAGAACTTTGGAGGATCTGATTGTGACAGCTAAAGTGTTCTTTTGCATTTAATTTTTCCTTGGATTATTTAGCGACACTTCTTTAACTGGAAGGGTATTGTAGCGGTTACGTTACAAACTCACCGTGCTGCAAACAGCAAAATGTTACGAATTTGTTAAAATAATTAGTCACTTTTTATATTCAAGTTTGTCTGCAGGCGTCTCATAAATACTTTCGCTGGCCTCCTGTACTAACCGGTGCTTCGAAGAGACCAGAGAATCGCTCTTCTTGAGTCTTGCCCTTCTTGGGCCTCACGAGGATGAATATGGTCCTGACGCCAGGACAGGAGCGTAGAAGCTTCTCTAGCAGCGCATTGCCCAGGAATCCCGTGCCCCCCGTCACGAAGACGCCAGCGCCGTGGAACAGCTGCTGCACTGCAGTCTCGCCTTCGCATTCCATTACGATCTGAAAACATGCACGTCTTAATTGTAAGTGCAAACGGTAAACAAATTTGCTCGCGGGGGAAGGATGACTTCAATCTCACGGCCTGAGCTGTCCGGTGGGTTTTGCTCAATAAAGACAGAAATCTTCATACTCATCGCCCTGATGACGGAGGCAGTATGACCTCTGAAACGTTGGTTAACATCGACCAGACTACACAGCGCAATAACCCAGAAGACAGAAATCTTCATATTCACCGCTGTGAGAACCTCAAGTCTTACATAATGGAACTTGTTTTGTTAAATGTGATCTCTCACATTGAGGGTATTTGAGAACAGGGTGTTACGGAGAATATTTGGATTCAAGAGAGTTAAAGTTATAGGTTGTTGGAAAAAATTGCATCATGAGAATTGCATACAGAATTTAAGTCGAAAGCCTGTAGAGAAGAGACGACTTAAATTGGGTGAAATGAGTTCCAGAGTAGCAGGGCGTGTAAAAATGGTTTGTGGGGGGTGGGATTGTGTGTAACGAAAATGGAAGAACTTTGGAGGATCTGATTGTGACAGCTAAAGTGTTCTTTTGCATTTAATTTTTCCTTGGATTATTTAGCGACACTTCTTTAACTGGAAGGGTATTGTGGCGGTTACGTTACAAACTCACCGTGCTGCAAACAGCAAAATGTTACGAATTTGTTAAAATAATTAGTCACTTTTTATATTCAAGTTTGTCTGCAGGCGTCTCATAAATACTTTCGCTGGCCTCCTGTACTAACCGGTGCTTCGAAGAGACCAGAGAATCGCTCTTCTTGAGTCTTGCCCTTCTTGGGCCTCACGAGGATGAATATGGTCCTGACGCCAGGACAGGAGCGTAGAAGCTTCTCTAGCAGCGCATTGCCCAGGAATCCCGTGCCCCCCGTCACGAAGACGCCAGCGCCGTGGAACAGCTGCTGCACTGCAGTCTCGCCGTCGCATTCCATTACGGTCTGAAAACATGCACGTCTTAATTGTAAGTGCAAACGGTAAACATATTTGCTCGCGGGGAAAGGATGACTTCAGTCTCACGGCCTGAGCTGTCCGGTGGGTTCTGGGGGCCTTTCCTGGAGGTAAAGCCGGTCGGGGCGTGATGCTGACATTTCACTCCATCTAGTGTCGAGTTCAAGAATGAGTAAAAGTCGAAACTCGTATGCAGACTGAAGAAGGAAAAGTGTCTATACGTGTTAATGGTATCACGTTCAAGTAAATATGCATTTACTGTATTCACGCTGGAATTGTTCAGGTAGACGATTTCCTCCCTTAACGTTGTAGCCACGTACCCATTCGTATAGCTTACGAAGTGCGATCGGAAAGATTCAAGACTGTGTCAATAGGGGGCGAACCGGATGTAGTACGAGCTTCTGCCGCTAGGGGGTGCGGCCTACATTCATAGTGAATCAGTGTGCCAGCCGGCATCATCGAATTAGCATTTGTTTCTTAGTTACGGGCGTTTTGGTAGTGCATTACACCGACCCTCCTGCGATTTCGGAATGGCGATTGTCAGTTTTATATTAATTTATAATTTTAATTAGCTGTTAATCAATATTCTTTTGTTGTTGTTTTTCAATGTAATGTCTTGATACGATCAAGCAGGTAGGAAGTAATAACACGTGCCAGTTTGTTCAGAGCAATTTCCATTGAATGACAGGAAGATAACTTTAAGTAGTCTTATAATGTTGCTTAAGTATAGCAAGGGAATCGCAAGTGACGTATCACAGTGACCGCGCGGTCTTGACTGCTCGAACACAGGGATTGTGGGTTTGAATCCCACTCGAGACATTAATGTTTTCGTATTTTTCTGTGTTGCACTATCTCATGTATGTAGAGATCTTGTGACAGATTGCCCTCGTCATTTCATGAAGTCCGACCAGGCATCTGACAGACCAAGGGTCCCAGTTTGTGAACACCGAATACGATATGAGGTGTGTACTGTCCCCAATTGTTCCCAATTTTGTGGAACTAGTAAATAAGATGGAGCAGTGGCATTGTACTCATTAGCTGGGACCTGGGTGATGAAATATTCATGGTGAATAATTACAATTTTTTTGTGACTGCTAAAATGTTTAGAGATGTTTAAAATATGTTTTCTGTGCAGTTTGTGTTTTACCTACATTGGGTAAAAAGGACTTGCAGATAAGCGGTTTTGGGTAATGAAGGAAAAAGTTTGGGAAGCAGTGCAGTAGATGAAGCGTCTTATAGGTTAGGTAAAAGGTGGAAGCACGCAATTTGGTGGCGGCTACATTTGCTATTATAGACACACATAGATAATAGAAGTTTGGTTCATGACAAGCACTATGGAAGCCAGCGAGCATTAAGGAGTTCCTCAATGCGCAGACGCAATGTTATTTGTAAGACTTGAGGTTCTCACAGCGGTGAGTATGAAGATATCCGTCTTCTGGGTTGTTGCGCTGTGTAGTCTGGTCGATGTTAACGAAACATCGACCAGACTACACAGCGCGACAACCCAGAAGACGGATATCTTCACAATGTTATTTGATAACTGGCGATGGTGCAGTCTGAGTTCACGCGTTACAATGCAGGAAATAATGTAAAATACTGGTCTGTTCAGTCTCTGCCCTGTAAGGTCACAATGGACAAGGTTATGGTTAAGAAAGTTTTGAGGAATATGTTACTAGCACGGTATTGAAGTGAGGAACGATTGTGAAAATGTGTGTGGGGAATAAAATTGTTCCCACGATGAGTGAGACCTTGGTGACTAAAGATCGTTTGTGTGTTACCAGTTACTTGACAGTGAGATTCACTTGTTGTGAACCTTCAAATTGTGCGCAGACGCAATTGCGTTGGTGTTACAAATACCGAGGTCACACGTCAGTTTAGCTTGCGAACTGAAGGAAAATGGAAATAGAACTTTAATTCGATGTTCGCAGTGCAAATTGAATTTTTGCTTCACATTTCTGTGACAATAAGAGTGCATAATTTTGTGGACATTCCTCAGGACTCACATCCGTATCAGCCCATAGGAATTCAACGGGGAATACAGAAGTTTGCAAGTTTCAGTTACATTCTCTGAGAAGAATAATGTGATTCAATTTTATATTGGGGCTTCTTCAAAAATTATATTTGTGTGAAACTTTAACACCTGTCCTCTTTTTAATATGGAAATGAGGTTTTCAAAATAACTTGGCAAACATTTTTACTTAGCTCCATGGTACAGAATCTCCCAGTATCAGCAAATAGATATTCAGGTATCAGCGGGTTTATTCTCATAATGGAATTCAAAACCCTGTCACTGTAATCATAAGGGCCCACCATTCTCAGATGTCCACTTCTCACTTCAAAAGCCTACTTCCAGAATAAAATTATCCGCTCATCTGTAGCCATAATACAGTACTACAATATAATAATATTTGCGGATGACCAAGTAATAACAGCATCTACAGAAGATGCATATTACACTTAAGAGTACCATTCTTTGTCCACCACGAATATTGGCATAAAAGCAGGGATGGTGGTAAATTAATTTTAATTTTTTTCTTAGTTTTAGGGTATATTTTTATTAGTAGAGTAGTATTAAAATGCCATATGGCGCATAAAATATTGTATTATTTTGTAGAATTTGAGGTTATTATGGAAGACATCCATCTTCTTATTGTAGTTATATTGCCTCCATCATCAGGCGATCCTGATGGCGGAGGCAGCAAGGACCTCTGAAACACTGGTAAATGTGTACCAGATTGCACGGTGCAACAGCCTAGAAGTCAGCTATCTTCAGACAATATTTTGTTTGTAGGGCAAAACTATGAATAGACCAGGTAAGATTTCGGATTCTCGCAGTGGTGAGTATGAAGAAGGCTGTCTTCTGGGTTGTAGCATTATGTAGTCTGATTTATCTATGTTTACCAAAGTCTCAGGGGTATTTGCTGCCTCCATTATCAGGGTGACAGGTAAGCCATGTAAGAGGACTGGGTTTGAGATGTAGGAACTAGTCACTCAAGGCAGAACCGTAGCCGGATGAGTGGTGAAGAGGGCGAGCGTCAGGCATGAGCAAGGTAACCAAAAAGAGACAGAGACGTACCACAGCCTGACCAGAGATTCAAGCTAGAGGTCAGACTGATTGCTGATTTGATATTTTGTGACTCATCGCCCTGGTTTGGAGACATGATGAAATAGGCGACAGATCAGGGAGTTGCTGCTTGTAGCCTGCCGCTGCTGGATAACTGGAAAGGAGGAATTGGTCTTTCTCAAGGCCAAACTGTTTTAGCTCTCCCCAGCTGTCTTGCATTATCTGAGAGCAAGGGATCAAACAGGAGAGTGGGGCATACCATAGCCTGGTCAGGAGGGGAGAAGTAAGCAAAAGAGAGAGGGTAAATAAAAAATGGTCCTTATCAGGGCCCCTGAGGGACCAGTGGGAAGTTCACTGGATAAAAGGAAATGAGGGTAGATGAAAGAAGTGTAAGAGTATAAGGAAAGGGAATATACAGGGGAGAAAGTTGAGTGGGATATGGATAAAATAACGTACAAGTTGGGACAGAGAAAATGAGAAACTGGCCAGAGCTGGGTTAGTGTCCTGAAAAGGACATTGTGCTGGCTTAGCGTCCGGGTTGAGATAGGCATTGTTGTATCTAAGACTTCCTGTGACCTTTGATGACCGACTTGTTCGCCCTTAGAGGCAGTGGATTTAACCTCTGGACATTGGGCAGATTTACTCCTTGCCTTTGCAGGCAGAGGTGCAGAACTGGCTCCAGACAGTGGCCCAGGTATCTAGCTGCAAGCTCCAGCAAACTGCCCAAGTTAGATAAGTCCAGATCATTGGCTTTATGCTTCCGTGCATTGGTTTGAGGGGCCTTCTTGGAGACTAAAGGCCCTTCCCATCCTGCAGCAGAACCAGATGTCTACCCACTGGACTGGCCAGTGGAATGTTTGCCCAACCCGTAGCCTTGGCAGCAGCCTCAACTTCTCTCCTCTTCTTCTGTCTGAGGATGTCCTGCCTTGAGTGACTGGTCCCTATATCTGAGACCAATTCCTCATGCATGGCCTGATTATGGAGACAGTGAGTACCTCTGAAATATTGGTAACTTCTACCAGACTACCAAGACTACATGGTGCTACATCCCAGAAGACAGCCATCTTTATGGACAAACTAACCTAAATTAGAAACATTTCTTCTGAATTATATGCATGGTAATTGCCATACTGCTATGATAGACTCCTGTGGAATTAGATAGTGACATTTCTTGTACTGTAGTTGTAATGGTTATACCACCATGATTTATGTGTCAAGGTATTTTCTGATGAAGTAGTCCGAAGGTGAGTGTAGCATTATGGTAATACAGGCTTTATATTCAGCTTCATTCCTCTTGTATTTTTGTCATTCCATTAACTTGGCTGCATATCAATGAACCACATTGAGAGAGTATGGGCAGATTTTATTGTATTTGTTTTATAGAAAATATAAGGGATACAACGGATCATAATCTGAATATGTTTTGAAAATAATATTTTCTTGTTGGCATTTGTACACATTTCGGTGGCACATTAAAATTGTCCCAGTAAAGAAAATGATAAGTTTTATTATATGTTAAATTACATCACACCAGTGTAAGTATTTTTGCGTGATACTACATGTCTTGTTCATTAGAGAAAGATAAATAATTAATTATGTCTAGTTCAGGAATACCAAACATTGGACCTTCTGCATTTTGGTGACCCAGAACAGATGAGGGTCTTGACAGCGAACTTAAATGTAATAACTCAGAACGCAATTAAACAGTCCTTAAAAACTGAGAAATATTTAAACGATTAACCATTGTGACTTCAATCTTCACAAATCAGTGGACTACCTTGTAGAAGTCATGGTGAGTCTGATCCATCTATTAACAGAAGTAAATACAGGTGTATATATTTTTTGCATAAAATATGTAACGTAAGTACTGATTCCACATGTGTTCCCTTCAAGCTGGATTTATTCTACTAACTTGATGGCTAACAGAACCCAAAGATTTATCACCAAAGTAACCAAAGCCTTCCACTGGACCCTGTCCTGGGTCAACAAAATCAAGTCTTCTTCAATTCTTTATCTCCCATAAATCCCACCAGAGAATATCCTACCATCTACGTCTAGGTCTCCCCAGCGGTCTACACTACTATAATTACAATTAACAATTTGCCTTGAGGTATTCAGTCAAAGTGCCATTGTTGCTAGTGATAGTGGCTTCCATCGGGCAATATGCCCTTTTTGTAAATAACTTTTATTGGATGGAGTTAGGTTATCTCAGTATTATGACTTACTATGGACCAGGGTTCAATCCCCAATGAGGACAGAAAATTTTCCTTTGGTCTCTGCATCCAGCCCGGCTCTGGGGCCCACACAAACTCCTATCCAATGGGTAAACTGGTTCTTTCCCGGGAGTAAACGGGGCCGGTGCGTGACGCTGACCACTCACTAAAAGCTATCGAGTAGTTGTTGAGTTACTGCAGCATGAATTACAAAAGCAGGTTTAATCTGTGTGCATCATAAGAATGACTGCCGTGTGGTATGGTACAAGGTTATCAACGTTTCTGATGTGCTTGCTGCCTCTATCATTAGGGAGATGAGTGTTTTATCGTGGTATAATCTTTGGCGTGTCAGTGGCATTGAGCGACAACTATCGATTATTAAATTCCGATACTCCGAAAGTAATATTTGGCGGTACCTATTTCACTCAAAATTTGAAGTTAACTAGGTGCAGTGTGTTAAAACGTTAAAATAACGGAGAGAAGTAAAATGTATAGGGTTATGTGTACAAAGAAACACGTAGTAAGAATACCAATAGACTATTTAACGGTGGCATTCGTAAGATCGAAGTGGCTATGTAATTCTGCTGAGTGCATGGTTAGGTTAGTAAGCAAGTACTGTGTTATATAGGTAACAAATGATATCAGAGTTGACATGTGAAATAAGTAATTTGGTGTGGAGAAAAGGAAACAGGAGCAGGAACAGCTCGAATTTCCCTTTCTGAGTATGAGATAAATATTTCCTTTCCATAAATTTAATGGCTATATCGTACAGTTCAAACAAATATAGTTACAGTGATATTTTTGTATACTAAACCTGATCGATGGTAACCTGTTAGGTTGACGTGTTAAGTAAATCTGCCCTGCTACATGTCATGCAGGTACTTGAAGAGGAATATAGCTTCTAATTATTCTTCACCTTGGCACTAGATGGAGATGAGTGATTAGCATCACACCTTAGCCTTGCTTTATCTCCAGGGGAAGGACCCCTGGTACACACAGGATAGGAGGTGATCTGGATGCAGAGGCTAGAAGGGAAATTCCATGCTCTTGCTGGGGATTGAATTCCATTCTCCCAGTCAGTAGTTTGACACTATTCTGACTGAGAAATCCTTTCTCATTGAGGTTGCCATGTACTCAGTTGAATTATAAGTATAGTTCACTATGTCTTTCTTTGTGTACATGTTCATTTAGTCATCCAGTGATATAAGTGAACTTTCTCACCCAGCACAGGAACTGTGATATCTTCTGGCTTCAGAGAGTGGCAGAATTTATTACAAATGGCTAAGAATTGCAAGGTAAGTGAGAACCATGTCACTTACATGATTAAATTGAAAGAACTTTTAAAATGAAACAAATTTATAGAGCAAACCAAAATCATGTGGACAAACAGACATGACCAGCCCTTTTTATAAGAAAACCTGTGCTTCCAGCATCAGGATTATACCGTCCCAGGACTGCTACCCTATCAGTAATTGGTAAATAAGGGAACAATCTATATTAAGAAATAAAATTTTGAGGTTTTGTAAATGTTTCAAATATTAAAGCTCAAATGTACATGAAATTTTGTACAGCAGAGCAGTTGCTGTTGCAGTTACGAGCACGTACATGAAACTCGATGTTCCTGGATGGTATATAGTTTGTTAAGAAACATTGTGATACTGCTGCAAGTCACACATTTTCCTCACAGCTGCTGGTGTTGAAATGCAGTTACACAAATTTTTGATATATATTACTCAATGGTCAATATTTTAATGGTGTATGTGGTTCTTGAATGTTTTGCGGTTAAACCGCAGACCCAATGTACAGCGTGTTACATAGTATTTGTAACTCATAATTTGGTTATTAATAGATCATAAGCTACATACAGTTCAATAAAAACCTTACATGCCACCAGAAGATGGTCTCCGTTAGATCGAAACATGTAGTGTTATAAGACATTAAAAGGAAAGCTGAATGTTTCATTGATATTTTAGGTGGATGAAAAATCAGATCTTACTACAAGAGTTTTTGGGCTTCCTGTATTTACAGTAACAAAATATGTGGTAACAGTGAATTACCATAGTACTGAAACAGTCATTTAAGGTATTTTATATTTGAAAAATTTTAATGGGGAAAATAACAAATAAATGAGGTATTTGGGTTAGAGATTTAAAGAAGCAAGGCCATTATTGTTGCCAGGATGGTGGAAGAACGGGGATATCCAGGTCTGGTGGCAAAAGCAAGGGAGAGCTGGTTCCTGGGGTAAAGTCTTTAGAGACGCAATAACTGGCTGCATTGCCCAATGAAGCAAGCATCCTGGAAAGGAGGAGGGCTGGGTGATAAAGCTGAAGGGTTTAAATCATCTTGATTTGGAATGGGCATTGAGACAAAAATTATGGTAGGAATAACAATTAATGTGTCCGATGAATCAAGATGTTACATAAATATTAAAGCTTATTATTTAATAAGAACCTGTGTTCAGCTATAGATGAAACTAGAAAGGAGAAAGGGTCTTCTGGAGAAGTTGCATTATCATGACTTCCAGTGTCAATTATGATAATGTTACAGTGAATTCTGATGATGAGAACTTTTTCTCAGACACTTACATTGTTTCCAGAAGACAATTGTGGACATGCAAATAACATTAAGAGACTTGTTATTCAGAAAGCCTGGGAACTGAAGTTTTTATTTCTGTATGCAGAGGAACTTTAATGCAGGAAAATAAAAAATTAAAGTATTGAACTTAAGTCAAATTTGATATGGTAGCTCTTTTTTCCAATACCATTAGTTCTTGCAACTACAGAACCTGTGTTTAATTTGAATGAATTTGCAAATGCCACTTCATTTTGTATTCAGTGTCTTTTTCTTTTCTTTCTCTTAATAAGAAAATTATCCATGTTAGGGATAATTTAAAGTTACGAGAATATTACGCGCACATAAAAGTAAAACTCCCCAATTCAAGCCATGGACGTGCATGGGAGAGAGGTGTAGCTCCTACTTGTTTTTGAAGTTGGTAGTAGATGAAGACGAGCTGTCAGATTATGCCCCCAGTCGCTCTTTACCCTGGGGGAAATGACCTCCTAGCAATCGCTGTATAGGAGTCTGGGTGGGCATCACAGCCACTCTAGATGCAGAGGCTGGAAGAAGTATCCTCTGCATCCGCTGAGGATTGAACCCCAGTTATTCAGCATGTAGTCAATTGAGTCAGTTACTATGCTCACTGTGCTACGTAAATATACAAAATGAAGTGGTCTGTTTTATGTGGTGAAATTATTTTGTTCTTAACAATGACAAGGCTAAGAGTTTCACACTGAACTGCAGTTGTTTACCCCTGGGAAAGGACTGTCGCACCCATTGGATATGGTGGGACCCAGAGGAAAACGTCTCTGCCACCGATGGGCATCAAATCCCAGTCGTCCAGCCTGTAGCTAGTCACTATACTGACTGAGCTATCCCGGCTCACTTCATATTTCAGTACTTCACTTGAGATTGAATTACACAATATATAAGACTGCAGTTTGTTCATTTCTTTGGTGTGTAATATTTTCTGAGTTCAGATTTAGGAGAGATTACTAAATGTCTTGAATAATAGAACAATAAAATGGCACTTGAATTGAATGTTATTTTTTCTACTGTTACTTTCAATTCACGGCCATCTACTATAACTAATTTTCCAACTTACCGCACTGATATTTGTATTAGTACACTACAGTCATTTTATTAAACATTTTGGCTGTACCTTCTGTAGCGTTTCTTTGCAGGTTCTATTGTGTCAGGGGTGTCTTGTGCCATATACGTGCGCAACCCTAGCATGGAATCTTTGAATACAGACTGCCAATCAATGTTAGCAATGTTGAAGTCAAAGAGCTTTTGATCCTCAGGACTCATCCTTTTCCACAAAGTCTGCACATTGTCGTTTGTGAACTTCCACTGTTGGGTGGAGAAGTATGATATCACATCAACAAACTTGTGGATCTTCTTGTAAATATTCCATAATCTGAAAGAAAACAAGAAGTTACTGAGACTGTTATGTTTAGAAAAAGTTTTTTATATTTTATGCCTTTTAAAGGTTTCAGTGTTCCAGCCATGACTTTTTCAAAGTAGGAGCTATTGCTGCTGGTGAGAGATTATCTCATTAGGCAACTTATCTTTTGTAAAAATAATTTTGATTGGAAATCGGAAACACTGGGAAGTCGAGATATTTTTATAGTGTTGGAGGTAGGGAATGCTGATGGAGTGGGCTGGTGATAACTGAGGAATAAGTGGGAAACGGTTCTGTGCCAATAGGGAGTCAACAAACAGGCATCAGAGGAGGGGGGATGGATAGTGAAGAGGTCAGCCCCTTTCAGGACCCACTGTGCTGGGTTGTGTTCTTGGCGAGAGCCTATCGCCCTTCTTTCCGGTCATGAATCAGATGCTTCTATGACCTCATACAATGACAGGCCCCTTTACAGCCTAACATATTTTTATCATTTTGAGTATACAGTTCTTGTGTAATAAATTTGAAGCTCTTTCCTCAATATCACTTTCAGGCCTCGTTACAGTGTGACATATGTACTATAAACCCTCAGCATAATGGACTGTAAGGGTTGTCCAGTAATGCATCCTTAAACCATAATTACAAACACCATTAAACATATTAGTAATGTGAACAGGACACCTACAATAACACAAGGTCTACTAAACCACGATGTTGCAGAGAGATAATGGAGCACAAAAGAATCCTCACATCCATAAACAAATTGACAACACCAAATGGTGTGTGTTAAATCCAAAATCCATTAATCAAGGGTTTAGTGTACATACACATTTTAATATTTCAGCTTGTTAATTTATGGAACTTACATTGGCTTTTTCCCAACAAGTCTGGCTGCAGTATCCACAATGAGAGCTGGCAGAAAGTGCAGAAAAATGGCATACAAATTGTGCATGATCTTGTATTTATTAAGTTGGAAGCAGTAGTACCACTGCACTCTCATAGATGGGAATTCTTTCCCGCATTCATTAAACTTCATATACTGAGCCCATGTGAGAGGATTCTGAATTGAAGATACATAGTTCAAGATGGGAATATCATCATCTGGACCTGGAAGGTTCCCAGTTTGTTTTTCAAGTAGATATTGCTGTGCTTTCAACCTATGAAACAAACAAAAACACTTTATATTTATAATTTGATAAGGTTGGTTGTGCCCTTGTGAGTTGATTCCTCGCACATAAGTTTGTTATTTTTCTATAATGGTCCTTAATTTTATACACAGCAATCCCTTGTCAGCCAGGTGCTTGCCAGTCACAGATTTAAAATCTTATGCAGTCCACTTTTATGTCCATTGTTTCAAGAACATAAACTTTTAGAGCATTTTTTTGTGTTCTCTGTACAAAGTGCATGAAACACGTGTACCAATACTTTGGTGAGGACATCTTCTTGTCTATATGTATATTTCATTTTCAAAACCACTCAGTGAATTTCATTTATGTTCTTCATTGGGATGAGTCCTAATTATAAGTTGTTGGCCAGATTTAATTTTGATTCGTACTGGTCAGTGAGTGTTCTATCATAATAGATCTATTAACTAAATAACTACACGGCTTAGGGAACCCAAAGTTTCATTACCGAATTAAACAAAGCCCTCCATCGGTCCCTGTCCTGGGCCAGCAATATCCAGTTGCCTTCAACTCCTATCGCCCATAGATCCGACTCGATATTATCCTCCTATCTACCTACGTCTAGGTTTCCCCAGCGGTCTCTTCCCTTCAGGCTTCCTGACAAATATACGGTGCACACCTCTTGCCCCATCCATGTGCACCACTCTTCTCATTCTTCTCGACTTAATCACCCTGACAAAACTGGGGGAGCAGTACAGATTTTTAAGCTCATCATTATGCAGTTTTCTCCACGCCCCACCGTCTTCCCTCTTAGGCCCAAATATCCTCCTCAACGACCTATTCTCATACAAAATAACAGGCAAAATTATTGTTTTGTATATTTAAATCTTCGGGATCTTAGAAATCAGATGGAAGAAAAAATATTTTTAACTGAAAAGTAGCTAGCATTTCCATAATTTAGTCTCCTACTAATTTCCTCATGAGTTTCATTTTGATTTGTTATCGTTGTTCCCAAATATTTGAACTTTGTCACACACAGTAGATCTACAACTGATCAAATTTTCTGCATTTGCCAAATACTAGAGAAAAAGTGGCTTCAACCATGGGTCTTGTCTGCCACTTATCATTTTGATTTTCATTATCATTCTCCCATTTAGAATCTCAGCTGGTATACTTTAAATTAGGCCATGAAGGAAGTTTAAGATAATACCAGTCAGTCACCTGTACAGGCACTTGATTGTTTACCTTTGTTGTGTTGCTACGTCCCAAGCAGCAGCTATCATCACATTAATAACCATATCGACAGGAACCACTTCTGCCAACATATCTTCATTACAGTGCATGGTTCTTAGGAGTCCAACCCCAGCTCCTACCACAACTCCAGTAGCTCCATAAATGTTGTTGATCCAACCAGGGAAAGGTTCACGTGCGGTACTTATCACTATAAAAAAGCAGTCTTATCAGTTTACTGGCCTCATGTGCAAATGATTGTGGTGTTGTAACTAGCATATTCAAGAATTATGTTCATTTCTGCGATATGAGATCAGGTACACTACATGACAGTGATTTTTGTACTGTAAACATTTTTGGATTATGCTCTAAAATAGGGAAAAAAATTAGCAGAATATCATCTGTAGAAATTATTCATGAAGAACTTTCTTTAAGTGACACTTACATGTTTATACAGGACAGCGTTTTGCTCTTATGGAGTGATTCTAGACTCGCAGCTTTCAGTCATGCAACGTTCTTCTTAGTAATTCTCCATTTCAGTTACCATTTCCATAATCCTTTCACAATGAGAAACAGGAAACAAATATGAGCTACCTACCTATAGAAGGTCGCACCACTGCTATTGGCAGGCCCTTTCCAAACTCTCGTACTGTGTCTTCAGCAATTGATTTAGTGAGTGCATATGTGTTTGGCCACTCCCTCAGTATCCTGTAATTAATAACCATTCACATCTGCACAGTTTAGTTGAAATATTAATTAACTCTTTAAGCATTGCCTAAGTCACTGCTATTACAGTGACCTATTTCTCACCCTTGAGTAGTTTATGATGTAGGATCCTTGGTTTTGTGGACAGCCTATAACACCGCACTATGTGGAATGTGATCAAGAAAGGAAAACATACTTAATAAATACAAAGTCTCAAATGAATTCTCTATTCCTGTACTTCTAAAATGCATATCCAAAATATTTCCTTATTCTATATGAAATCAACTTGTGATACTTGTTTGTAATGAGTTGTGTTAGCTCAAGCTTTCCCTTTTCAGTCCATTGTACGTTGTGATTGTGAAGAGGATATTTAAGTGTTTTTGAAATGTGGCTGAGGTAACTTGCAATAATAATTATAATTATATTAACAAAATTTTGTACTTTTACTTTTTATCTACAATTAAATACTTTTGCATTAAAACACATCAATGATTTAATTTTTGTGCAATCATTTAAAATGTGAAACATAAAAATGTAACTTTTTATCATATTTTAAGATAAAAGTATTCGGGGAAACAGTTAAATACAAGTTCATATATATTTTTTTCATGTTTCATACTCTGAAATAATTTCTTATTTGCTCTATATCCATAATGTGCAAATTATGGTTTTTTGGTGATTGGGATCTGGCACACCAAATGTCAGCAGAGGGTTCAAGACTTCCATACTCACATTGGAGTCATAATGGACAGCACATCTTCATCCAGAAGGTCCACTAGCTGTA